AAAGTTGCACAAATTATCCTATCCAAGATTATGTTATCTATGGAAAGTTAACATCAACTTAGAGTTTTTGTATCTAATCATGATAATGTGCAAATACCTAAGTCTACTCATGAAGCACTTTAAAGTCCAGAATGAAAAACCGCAGTTGAAGAGAAAATTCAAACACTTGATCTAAATGGCACATGAATCTTTACAAAACTTCCTCCAAATAATAGATCTATTGGGTGCAAATGGGTCTTAAATGTCAAGTATAAAGCAAATAGGAGCATTGAGATGTTTAAGGCTAGGTTGGTGTTCAAAGATTTCACTTGGCCTTATAGGAAACACCACACGAGATATTGACTACGATGGCCAAGTTAAACATTGTAAGAGTTTTTCTTTCCTTAGCAGTGAAAAAAGAATGGAAACTACATCAACTTGATATCAAAAATGTGTTTTTGAATGTAAACCTTTAGAAAAAAGTGTATATGAAAATTCTACTATGACTCAAAAATAACTCAAATAAATATCTGATTTGTAAACTAAGAAAGTCACTTTAAAGCCTCAAACAATCTCTAAGGAATTGGTTTGACGAGTTTGTCAAGCGTATGAAATCTAATAGATACATGCAATGCTATTGAAATATACATTATTCATAAACCAAACACAGAGGTAAAAAGGCTATACTCATTGTCTATATCGATAATATGATCTTGATAAATGATAATGAAATAGAGATTAGCAAGATCAAAGTCCTTCCATTGAATTTGAAATCAAGGATCTAAGAGCCATGAGATACTTTTTGGGCATGGAAGTGGTCAGATCTAAGATAGGTAATGTGATATCTTAAAGAAAGTACATCTTAGACCTACTAAAAGTGACACAAATGTTGGGACATTTTATTGCAGCATGAATTTATTTGAAAAATTTTTCCCTTAACTTTCATTGATCTAGGTATTTTTATGCTGAGGCAAGTTACCAAACTTCTCTAAAATTAGTTCTATTGGGGTGCATCATAATTCATAAGGTATTCAACATAGATGCTTTTGTTTCTCCATCAGCTTATTCTCAACTACCCTATATGCATTAGAATTACTCTTATAAGCTGGACTATCAAATGCTCATCAGTATACTATCACTTAATCTAATATAACAAAACTGTACTGTGCCTCCTTCACTTGAACTAATATTTCTACATATTTCATAAAAATTGTGCCATAGGGATTATTTACCGAAATATTTATTAAAATTTATTCCTTATATCTAACCACCCATCTAACATGATTGTCACTCTAGTTTGAGTCCATATTCATTTAATCTCTTATGTCTTTTTCTATTTTACTCAGCTTCTCCTTCAACACTTATATCATTGAATCATACATGGATAGAGGTTTCAAATGTCACCCATATGCACTTATCATACGAATCATATTGAAGTAGGGCTAGTTGCCACATTGGAATGACATTCTCATAAATTTTTTTTTCAACATCGTTGAACAATGTTGGAGAATATCAAATTCTCATGTCTCAATAATCAAATTATAACTCTTTTCATTATATTATAGAATTATATTAATTTAAAATCTTATTACAATAACAACAACAAAGCCTTAATCCCACTAC